GTGGGGTTCTTGCCCCATTTCCACTCCTCGTACTCCTGCAAGCCCTGCGCCAAGGAGAGGGCGGAGAGAGATTGAGTCCAGGGAGACAAAGGAGGAGGAGCACGTGCACAGGAGTCCTGCCGCTCCAGGATCTGATCGCCCGAGGACCTTATCAAATAGACACCATCTTCGTCCCTGTGGGCTGCTGCACCAGAATACCTCAGGATGGTGAATCCCGACCACAGAAATGCAGTGCTCACAGTCCTGGAGGCTGGGAAGTTCAAGGTCAAGGGGCCAGCAGAATCTGGTGGAATCTGCTCTTCATCTCCAGCACCTGCTATGTGTCCTCACGTGGCAGGAGGGGAGAACTAGCTCCCTCGGGGCTCTTTTATAAAGATACTGATTCTATACACCGGGGAGAGCCCTCTCGACACGGCCACTTCCCCATTTCGTAATGCCATCACCCTGGCTATATGAATTTTGACACATAATTTTGGGGTTGGGGGGACAGACAATTTCAGACCATAGCAGGCATTTCGATCATTCCCATTTTACAGATGAGGACATTGAACATGACAGAGGTTCCGTGGCTACTCAGCGACGATGGCTGGAATTTGAATCTTAAGTGGTGGGGGTGGGTGGCAAACCTCATCCTGTGCGCCAATCCTGACCTGCCCCCTGTGAGATAAGAATTGTTTTTTTGGGGGGCTGGGGATATGGCTCAAGTAGTAGCACGCTTGCTTGGCATGTGTGAGACACTGGGCTCGTTCCTCAGCACCACATAAAAATAAAACAAAGATATTGGGTCCACCTAAAGCTAAAAAATAAATATTTTTTTTAAAAAAAGAATTTTTACTTTCTTAAATGGTTGGGGAATAAAAAAATCAAAAGGAGAACAATATCTTATGGCATAAGAATATGGTACAATAAAATTCACGCCAGTGTCTGTGAGTGGTTGGACGAGAACATGGTCCCATCATCTACGCAGCTGTATGATGATGGCAGAATGAACAGTTGTCACAAAGACCCAATGGGCCGTGAGCCTACAATACTGATGACTTGGACTTTTACAGGAAAAAGTCTGCCAATCCCTTCTCTGGGCGGCCTGGCCTGAGATTCTGTGCTCCTGACCCTGAGGAGAGCCGGGGCATACTGAGTCCCGGCTGGAGCAGCAGGTGCAGCAGGTGCAGAAGGCAAGCTTGAGATTTGTTTGGTTGCTGAGCCTGGAAATGCATCCTTGGAGAGATGGCCAATTTCAAGATGGTGTCAGACAGCCCAGGAAAAGCAGGCTGGGGTGTGGAGGACCATATGTGGGGGCATATTGATAGCAAAGCCCGGTGGTTCCCAGGGAACACAGGAACCCTGGGGCTCCTACATCCCAGATAACGCCCTGGGTGGCTCCTTGTTGATATAAGAGACTCAGTTTCTGAGACCAGGGGTAAAGTCAATTACAAGGGCTTTGTGTGACGCACTCCTGAAGACCCTCTTTGCCTTATCAAAGAGCATGGCATCCTTGGGAATGTGCATGTCCAGCCTACAGCCTTGATGACATCCAGCCCCTGGAGTGTAACTGAACAAGAGCCCCAGATGGACATACACCTGCAAATGACATTCATCACCAGTGCTGGGGCCACGTCTGGCTTCTACAGACTGCTTCCTGCCCTTGGAGAGTGGTGTGCTATTCAGAAGAGATGGATTTATACGTTTGGTTGCGTTAAGTCCTAACTTTAAATAATCCTGTGCAGACGGCACAGCCTCTGGTCCTTTCTCCTATCCCCTCATTAATTACAACATTTAAATAAAAGTTTTTCATGGACATAGTCTAAAAAGTTAAATAAGTCTGCCAAGCTTCTGATTAAAAATAATGGCCTCCTGTTCCCCTGCTCCTGTACGTATCCAGCTCCCCAGAGGTAGCCACTTATAACTCTGTATCTGCTTCTTCTGAATCATGTGCACCTGCTAATGAGCCTTTTTCTTGTGCCTGCCATTCAGTCCCATCTCCTGGACAGCAGAAGAACGCTAACCCATCTTTTGAGCCTGGGTGGTCCTCCTCGGCAGGATTCTTACTGAGCAGGATGTGCAGCAGCTAGGGGTACGTGAGTCCATGGTGTTTCTAAGCAAGAGTGGTAAACTTGGTCACCAGAGGCCTCTATGTCTAGTCATTCTACCTATAGCTCCTCTGCCACTCTGTTCCTTTTTCTTCCAAGCATGGGCTAAAATGATGCTCCCAGAAGCTCCAGATAACAAAGGCAATTGGCAGAAGGTGACAATTTCCACGGTGGCCAGAGAACTTTGAACATCAAGGGGACTGCTCTTGTTCTGTCAGGCCTCAGGACAAGGGGAGGGGGTTAGGCCTAACCCAAAGTGGACAGGCCAATATGGCGGCCTTATGCAAATGAGAAAATGGTAACCATGGCTCAAGACTGCCATCTGCTGGAAGACGGTTGGAACAACAGCTTTAGAGTTCCCTAATACTGGGAGGGGGAAAAGTGCCCCCTGGAGGTGTGTGGAGCCCAGGGACCCACCTTGCTGAGGACCAGTAGGCGCTGTTTCTCTTTCTCGCTGGTGGCCAGGGAGGCAAACTGCTGCAGCTGCAGGGGCGTCGGTGGCGTGGTGATGTCCAGGTAGTATTTGAAGGCCTGGAAGATGGTGCAGGGCGGGAGGCGGGACTCGTCCTTCCAGTTGCTGATGATGCCTGGGGGAGGCACAAGGAGTGAGGAGGCCGGCGAGGGCTGGGGTCCACGTCAGGGGACCAGGCCTGCGGCTGGGGCAGAGGAGGGGGCCCAGTGGGTAACCTGTGGACTCTCCACCTTGCACACCTCCACAGGCCCAGGAGACCGTCTGGGTGCCTCACGTGTGCAATTAGGCAAAAATGAGGCCAAAAATTAAAAAATAAACATGAGCAGAGGAAAAGAATATTAAACAGGCGGAGCCTGAGACAGGCGTCGATTCTGGCTGCACCTGTGCCCTCGTGGTGTCAGTTCTCACCCCCCGAAGGGGAGCGGGGGGACTCAAATGACATGCATGACTAACACGCACCCAGCACTTCCTACCTGGCAAGTGCTGTTCTCAGCCTTTTATGCTATTAATTCATTTAATCCTCATAACAACCCCCCCGGGGTGAGTGCTATTATTATCCCCCGCTGAGAAAGGTAGAAGCCAAGGGAGGTTCAGAGATTTGTCCCAGGCCACTGGCTCTCCAGGGTGAAGTCGGGGAGTCTCACAAGTGTCAGGGTCTTGTTCTGAGGACCACCTTGCACGGTCAGCCCTCCACCTCCTCAGCCCCTGCATTCTGTGGATTCTACTGAGGATCGAAGATACTTGCTGGGAATTTTTTGGTCTGCACCGAACGTGGACAGACTCCCCGCCTCCCCCCTTATCATCATCCCTAAACCAAATGGCGCAATAACTATTCACAGAGCGTTTGCATTGTATTAGATGTCACCAGCCATCTAGAGAGCATTTAAGGTACGCAGAAAGAGGAATGTAGGTATTGCGCCCAAAAGACTCCACTTTCCGTACTGGACTTGTGCATCCAAGTGCGTCTATGGATCTGGGTGTCTAAGGGTGGGGGTGGGCCCTGGATACTGAGGTATGATTCTTCTACCTCCAGGGACTCTTCAGCCCACCTGTGCTGTGGAGATGAATCACGGAGACCCTCTCTGCCTTTGGAAAACCCCCAACAG